TTCATCACTATGCTGCAACATGACTCCCATCTGTCAAGGAAATGGCAGGTCTTCCAAATAAATGTAAACTAACCTTTCAGATTCATTCAGTTTAACTGCTTGGGTGCTCCTCCAGAAGTGAGTGGGTTTGGGTGAAGCTGAGCGGTTGCTCCTGCTGTTCTTACAGAGGTGAAGGTTCTTGTACTTTTGTGCTAAGAAATGACAATGGTTTAAATCTGAATGAGTTACAGGCTGTGGTATCAAATAATGAAATATGAAAGGTTTTACCTCGAGGTTATTGATAGGAATTAGACTTAGGTAAGAGTAGAGGGGCTGTTGGAAGCATACAGGAAGTGATGGTCCTGAATCAGTTCTCAGTGAATAGGGGTCTTCTGCATGGTATCCAGCACCAAAGCAACTGCACTACTGAAACACTTAGTACCCATTCCTGCAGAAATGCTAACGGTGTGACCAGCCCCAAAACTGCTCTACCTCTTCTCCAGTGGTCCCCTCAATAAGGCTGTAAGGAATACTACTGGGATTTTGGGAAGCAGAAAATCATGTTTCAGTTTATCTATTCACAGTACATTTGGCAGATAAACAGAAAAGTTAATTCCCTAGAGAGATCAATCCAGTACTTTTCCAAAGTGCTTCATGCAATATGCATACCCTCAACTTCACTTTGAAAAGCAGAACTGTGAATTTCCACATGAAGATGTCTTCAATTAATAACAGCACATCATTTTGGACTACTGCTCCCCAAACAGTGAAAAGCTGCTTAGTTCTCTGTCCAACAGATAACTGAGGCTGACTGATTGAGAGACTGCTTACAAACCAGCAAGAAAAGAAGCCGCACTCAGAAACCACTGCTGCCTATTTAATTTTTAAGGTATAAAAATTAAGATCTTTAAACAAATCAGAGAGAATAAAAAAGATTAATCAAGCTTAGCTAGAGAGTATGGCATTTATTTTTATAAGCAGCTGTCTTCTGAATCAACATTTCTCAAGAATAGCTCTTGCTGGGATGTGACTGAATGAGGCAGCTCTGAGACCGCGGCATTCCCTCCCCTGCAAAGAGCCCATTGTGGCAGCCTCAACAGCTCCATCTTCCTTGTGCTGCTGGTGTGAATTCTGGATCCACTGTTATTTTGGGGCAGTTTGCCAGCATCAAAGAAAGATTACCATCTGAGAATCTGAGTGAGGGTATGTGATTTAATTAGTGAGGATAACGGTAAAAGTGGCGTGCCTTTGTGAAGGTAGCAAGTGGAGAAGAGTCATGGAAGTAAAATACGTCAACCCAATCTCTGATACAGATGCAAATATTTAGATGTAACATTTGCATCTGTTCTCCTTAGTCTGTTAAAGTAACTTTAAGGGGTACTTGTTAACAATAGTCCCTAGAGTGACTTTGATAAAAAGAGTGGCTATGATCCAGATGTCAAGTGGGCCTGGACTTCATGGAGTTGGACAGTTCCCATGATAGTGGTGGTGCCTGCACCAGCATCTGCCAGGGAAAGAGTCCTGGCATGGGACTGCAGCCAGACATGCTGCCTCCACAAAGCATCTCAGCTTGAATCTGGCTCACACGTCGGACATGATCAGACCTGGATCACAGACCTGGAGATAAACAGAGACGTTGTGCTGGAAACGTAAGTGGTGGGAAAGTGGTGAGGAGAAGGAAACGCTGAGGGTCCCTTGGCTCTGTTAGGAAATCCACATACAGCAGAGAGCACCAATCTCTGCTGAAGCCTCTAGAGCTCTGCAACAAAGCAGAGAACAAAACACCACTGGTTCAGATGCCTTATCCTTGGTAGTACAAACAGAACAGTAAAATGAGAAATTATGAAATTAAGTGATTCTCATTTGTATAATATATTTTTATACATGCAGGTACATGTGGGTTTCAAATATACCTTTGTTTTAAAAATATATTTTAAACCCACAAAGATTTAACAAAACTCAAAATGGAATGCAAAAGAAGTTGTAAGAAGGCTCACATAGGAAGCTATAAAACTAAAACAACGGAGGCTTCATGAGGGGACACACTCACTTGTGAACAGTATTAAAACACCAATTTTATTCAGGAATACAGAATACATTTTTGAAGATTTCCAGTTTACAAAAAATTTAGGACAAGGTTAGGTTTCAACATACAACCTCCCTTAAAGTGTTTAGGTTACTTCTCCATTTCAAGTTGACAAAGCCCCTCAAACCAGAAAAAAAAAAAAAAAGACAAATGAAGGCCACTGTCCTGTACTGGGATACATTAAGGCAGAATCCAGTACAGTAATCAAATTCTTTCTGCAGTCCACATTTTAGTCCATGGGTGTGATATAACCTTGTGTTAATAAAAATATATTTCAGATCTATTAAGAACTGCAAGAAAAGCCCTTGTCTTACCATTTTAACTACAGACATTATATGCCAAGTAACTTCCAATAAGCAATAGTTAAAGATAGTACTTGTCCTCTGATCACCACATTAAAAATACAGCATTAATTTTTTCCTTCATTTATACAATTTTAAATATTCATTAAAAATCAGAATCAGTGTCCCTCCATCCTTTTCATCATTAATAGTTTTTCTTATCTACTAAAACCATTTGTCTTTCCTAAGATGTCTAAAAAGTAAAGAGCACAAGATTAACAAGCTGCAGCATTAATTAAAATAAGAGTCATCTCTTTCCTCCACTCAGTTTCTAAATCTATCACAAGGGCCCTATTAACTGTATCAAAGTGAAGTAGTGTAAATAAAACAGATTTGACTTAAAAGGAAAGTAAGAATCAATGCAGAGTTATTTAAAAATTGCAATGCAGTCAGTGTTGTTGTGTATGTCACTGCAGAGAAGAGCCAAGAAAATTATTCACAGGTTCTCTTTTAAAACCATTACTGCCAATTTTCCATATCCAATACCAGAGGTAAACAGTAATTTGCCTTACAAGGAATTTCAGATTACTATCAAGCAGAAACATTAATGGCCTAATTTTAAATACACAGCACTCTGATCTCAGCAGAGGTTACAGACACTCAGAACTCCTGAAATTTATTTGTTTGGTTTTAAATAACCTTATTTCCAACAGGTTAATCCACGTTTCTTCATTTACCTCAAGTAGTCATTTCTTCAAATTCTTTTGTTCAAATACCTTAATACCTGCGCTGAGGAGGACTACTCAACAGTGGTCACCATTCAGCACAGATGTGGAAACAGAATTTGGCTCTGGAAGAAAACTTTAACTGATTTTACTTTTGTAAGAATGGGTCTTTGAAATAACATCCATTTGTTTAAATATTAAGTAGAAAAGAAAGCTGTTGGACAACTAACCTCAAACTAAAAGGTTAAGAGCAATTGCAAGCAATAGGATGATCAATCCAATTTTACCCACTACGGAAAAGAAATCCTACCATGTGGTATTGGATGAACATTTAACTTCAGCCTAAATGCTGAAAAGCTACTGGATTGTCAAGGAAATATTTAATTTAATCAGCACATTTCCCAAAGATTCCACTGAATAATGCAGTGTAACGCTGTATTAACACTACTAAAAGTGACACATCATAAACAACTTCTGTGTAATACTACAGCAATTTCCAAAGCAACCAGCTAGCAAACCTGTTCTGCAAACCAGAAAACTGGAGTAAGATCAACCACCCCAAGTTTTAGCATATCTTTTTGGAGCAAGATACTGAACTTCTGTCATCCTCCAAGTTCAGTGGTCCCCAGGAGTAATAACAAAGAGGAAGACAAGATTTGTTGCCCTTTTTGGATCTCTAGACAATGACATGTAACAACACCCAGAAATGCAGTTAACAGCCTCCCAAATCAACATTCAAACAGAAAGGCACGATCTGCTTTTATAACTTGTGTTCTCAAAAACTAGAAGATTCCTATACAAAGATAAATACTCCCTTAGCTAGAAGGGGAAATGTCACACCATTTAGAATGTTTTTTCTTTTTTTTTTTCTCTGTAAAGTCCAAATGGACTATCTTAATGCAAAAGTTATATGAATATATACAACCTGAAAGAGTATTTTTATATATATAAATATGTACATATATAACAGTGACTGACACAGAAGGCAGAAGAAGCAGGCTATATTCATTCTTTTCCCACTTCTTAGCAATGCAAGGCAATGCTTTTCAGATGCCATAGGCACAAAATATTTGGTTTGAACACACTCCGGTGTCTTAGAATACACATGGTGAAATGTAATTCCCCATGGAAGGCTTGTTTGAGGGATACTGGACACAACGATATAGTTTCACTAATACAGCCTTAGGCAACTTTAAAATAAAAAAGATATCTAATTCCAATGAAACTACTGCAAACTCTTCAATGGTATGTTTTCAAGTTCAATATAAAGTTTTTAAAACTGCAATAGAAGAACATCCAAGGTTAATTCTGATACAGCATTCTGATATCGCTCTTACAAAGGCCAAACAGAACTTTAATGAAAGGCAAGAGGGACAGCAGGGCCCAGTGATCACAGGAGACATCCCTGCACCTGCCTGTACTATTAACTCATTCGTGTATCTGAGTTTGGTGTACCTGTAAAATAAAGGATCACTGTCTGCTGTGTGACAATGACAACAGTCTGCCTACAGTGTCGGATGGAGTCATTAATAAGCCAAATCCTGCTTGGTGAAGAACAGCATAATTAAATACTTGAGTTCTCAGCAAGGATGAAATCTGACCCAATCTTGTACACTGCTTTACAAGGACCTAGGAGCAACAACTTCAACAACACTTCATGACAGGCTGCCATTAATCTGCTTCCAAAGTCAACCAAGCCCATCAGCATTAGAACTCTCCAATACTTTCCCCCACATCATCTCAGTCCTGGTACCTGTGCTTGTAAATTTATCTGGCCCCTGCCTCTTACATATCATGGCAGTAGACCTCAGAACTGGAAATGAAAAAAAGAAACAAAAAACACAAAAAACAAACAACAAACCCACCCCAAAACCAAAACCAAACAAACAAAAAACCAACCAACCAAAAAACCAACCAACCACCAAAAAAAACACCAAAAAAATTAAGGCGTATGTGTGGGAACTGAGACCGAACTTGAGTTGCTCCCCTACCTACACTCCAGCTCAAAAATTCCTGGGTCCTGAACATGTAACTTTTGGGCAAAAGAAGTTACCTTAGAAAGATGGGGAGGAAGAAAGCAAGAGGTGGGGGCAGTCTGCTTCCTTCATTTCCTTGAAACAGCAAAGTCTGCTTAATGGCACAGTTCTTTTGCATAAAAGGAGTGGGAAATGTGGGATAGACAAACACAAATAGTTTTTCAAGGCAAATTTCCCCCTGGACAAGAGGAAGACACTGCACTGTTTTCTGGATAGGGAGCACAAGCACAGCACTGCAGTGGCATTTAAACTCATGGCTTCTTCCCTCTTGCCACTCTGAATACCTTTACCTCTGAGGTGCTTTCACATGGGTGATTTCAATAAGGTGCACTGAAATACACTCGACAGAAGACCATTCCAAGAGTTAGGACAAAACAGACATAAACAGTCCTGGTTTTCTGCAGAAGTTGAAATTTCAACCAAATGAACATGAATAATGCAAACTCCATAAAAAGTCCATAAAAAACAAGATCACCAAAAATGAAACTTTGTCAGTTTAGAGTTCTTGTGGAGCAGTAGAACTAAACCTGTGTGTTGCACTACATACATACCCACATGTAGTATTACACATGTATTTCCATGCATGTACATACATGTTATAGAGAGGGACAACAATTCCAACATCCTTTGCCACATGACCTACTTCCGGGTATTTTACAGATACAACAAACTAGCCATTGAACTTTAAGCTTTCTGGGCTGGGTGTTTGCCTCAGACTGGTTTTGGCATTGAAGATTTAGCTTTAACAATTTGGGTGTTTTCTTTGTTTTGTTGTTTAGTTATGTTTTGTTGTTTTTGTTTTTTTTTAAGAGGGAACAAATGGAGTAATGTTGTTTTTCCACAAAGGAAAAGAAGTCTTGAGCTGTGTTTTTGAGAAGCTTCAGTGCCTCTATACTCAGCCCTGAAGTCTGACAGATAAACCAACCTTTGTGGTGTTGCTGAGACAACCCATGCAAATCTGGCCTAGATACTAGCATCTGTAAAAAAACCTTGTTTGCTCAGTTAGAGTTGTTGCATCCTTACAAGCTTGAAACTCCTTCATGGTGAGAATGTTCCAGGCCATGAAGAGAGGGGTCAAGTAAGACATCATTTGCAATTCGAGCACTGCCAGGGGGCTGGCATTGGGCGTCAGACCTCCAAGCAGAGTGACTGCCTCTCGTGCTTCATTGACCACCAGCTGGCACCAGGCAGTAAGAAGAAACAGCTCACATGTTGACAAGATGGGAGGCAGTCTGAAAACCAGAGTCCTTCTGGCACAGTTCTTGTGTTTAACTTCTGTATATATTATACACACACATATATACATTCATATACAGTAAGCAGTCCAATAAATACACCACATCAGTTCTTCTGACACAGCACTGATGTTTCTCTTACTTGTCTGAACCAGAACTTGCCCACAGAAATATCACGAAGAGTTGATGTGACTCCAGGTTTAGTCCTCTGTACTTGATGAGCCCAAAATGCTGGATTCAAACAATAACTTAGTGTGAATTCAAATCAAGTCATCATTCAGGCACATGTCCCCCTGAAACCCATTAGCCACTGCAGACTAACTCATACAGACACAGTAAATGCCTTCCTGCCCATCCCAAAAGCTGGAGCAGTTACACTTCTCTTTCAGCAACGCGGTTGACCAGAGAATCGCTCTGATCTACTGTCCTCCCAAGAAGAGTTCTGTGGCCATCCGTGCTGCCATGGATGTCTCTTGTCCAACTGTCGGATGTGCCCAGAGGACTTTCTGCCATGGGGGTGTCCGTGCTGGCCAAGCTCCCTGTCCGAGATCGGTAAGGAGGAAGATCGGGTTGATTGGGGGGTTCAGATTCAGAACAATAAGGCGGTGGAGGAAGGTCAAACCAAGGTGGTCTGCTGTAAGATACACAACAGAGTAAGAAGTTACTGAAAACAGTGGTACAGAAGACAGCACACAGTATTCCAGTTATGAAGAAACCAAACAGTATTTCTTAGTTTTTCAATTATGACACATATGAAGAGATCTCACATCTGCCTGTAGGTAATTCCAAAATATCCACACCCACCCTGGGAACCCAGGTTTCTGGTCAAGGTGCAGCATAACTAATTATATCCTGCTTAACAATCCACACTCTGAGTTAGGACTTCCAACAAAGCTGGCTCAAAGACAGCTGCAAGAGGTAAAAAATTTTTCTGTATAATATTTATGCCAGAGAAAGCACTTTGAAAGAAATATCGTAAGTGGTGGATTTACACCTACAGATAATGATGTGAACACTAGACTGAAGCTCCCAGGAAACCTCCATTAAGTGACAGAGATTAATGGCTTACAGTCTACGAATAAATAACAAACTGAATTTTCCACATTGACAAATCACTTTTGCTGTCACGAGACCACATACAGAGCAACTGCTAAGTAGGCACAGACAAGATGAGTACTGCATTCAGGTAAACTGTTCTGTGGTTCTGATAGCAAACAAGTAAAGGGACTGAAGGGTTGAGCAGATTGATAACAGGTCTGGGAGCAATTAGCTCTGAAATTGCTGATGGTTTGTATCAGCTCAGGTGAGAAATGATTACAAGCTGGACAGCTGTTCATTTAGTTGTCCTTACTAATGAAAAGAAATCATTATTATGAAAGTCAACATTAAGACAAGGGATCTGCAGCCAAAGGCAGCAGAGAACAGGAATGTAAATTTATTATTCTTAGGTCCCACAGTTCATACTTAAAAAATAACAACAGGGTGATAGTGAACAATCTGGATCATTATAGTTTGTATCATAAAACCAGTGTCATAACTACAAAAACATCACAAACATCATAAGCCAAACCACACCCACCCACCAAACTTCAAAGCACTTTCAGCTATTTAAAATAAGAACAGTGCTTTACATTTCAGAGTCCTGTTCTTTTCTTCTATTGGTAAAGTAGTGCAGAGCAGAAGAATGAAACAGTTTCTCTGTAGATGAATCGAAGCACTCTCTCACTTTTATATACTTACCATATATGAACAGGACATTTTTTTTTTAATGCTACAACCTAAAACATAGTTGTTTTTTTAGCTAATTCAGTTTTCATGTTTTGACTCCATACTAGCCCAGGATATCAATACTAGACAAGTGATACCTTTTTTTGCACTCTCCTACTATCCTCAAAATCTCTGACATGTGCTAAGAGAACATGACTTAAGTTTGCCTCAAATCCCTTCAATATCAGTAACAGTAAAAGGACCTGAGGACCATGAATTTTTCAGATACAGGAAGAGCTCAAATTTACCAAAATTTGACCCTATGCATGCGACAGAAGTGCAACACCAGAATTCTGTCAAAAGCAGCGATAAGAACAAGCAGGGAGCAGCAGCACAGCTTAACAGAGCTGTAACCACTAGTGTGAAACAGAGTCACCTCCTGTACATACCTTTGGTCGAGCACAGCCTCCGAGTAGGATGGCGGGGAGTCCAGGTCCACGGGCCTGTGGTAGGCCTGGTTGGACATGTACTGTATCCCGTTGTTGACGTTGTAGGTGACGCTGCAGTGGTGCGGGTGATCCAGCACCACCAGCCGGGACAGCAGCACAGGGTGCTGCAGGCGATGCACCGGCAGAGTCATGAGGTTGTTGCGCTTCCGCTGGTGGTGCAGGACCAAGGCAAGAAAGGCCACCACGAGCACGAAAATGACAGAGCTCCCAATGATGGCGTAGGTAATACTCGGGTAGTAAAGCAGCTGGTTTTCTGAGGTCACGTAGTCTTGGCCGCTGCCTGCCTCTGCAAGACAAAAGCAAAAGGAAGCCTCAGACTTCTTCCAACGTAAAACTGCGTTTGACATGTGCTGTCTTTTCTGTTAACACACTGTGCAACAAAAGCAGTTTTTTCTTTTTTGTCTGGATTGTGAAAAATTGGATTATTAAAAGCACATGCATGCCAATGGGAGATTGGCTGGCTGTTCCTCAGTCCATCCTCACCCACAGTAAGTGCCAGCACATAAACTATTAGGCAGAGACAAACAGAGAAAGGCGAAAATGCACACCATAGCAGGAAGTATGTGCACAATCATGGGAGCATCTCCCCATCCCTACCTATCAGTTACAACTTGTGTTTCCAGAGGTGAGAAACCCAGTTCAAGCCATAACCACAGTATGCAGCTGAAAAACCACACTAGAATCAAGACGTAAAAGGCCTGACATCTAGTCGGTTTTTCTTTTTTGTTTTTTTTACTTTACGTTCCCCTGACACCATTTCAGCCCCATGTTCACAAGGTCATGTGGCCTTCAAAATGATTTTCTTTTTTTGGGCAAGAATTTCCGTTTCTGTGCATGCCATAATTCCTTACAGACTCAAACAGGCTATTCTGACATTCCTCTACCTCAAGAAAAACAAGAGGATGAGCAAAAACCAAACCAACCAAATCCAACCCAAAAGCCACATAATTACAAGAGCATGATCCATCCAAATTCTTTATTTCCTACTGTAGAAGGCTGGGGCAGTAAATCTTGATTGTCCCTTCTTTTCCCTGTGAACCAAAACTGCTTTTTGGTCATTCAGAATTGCAACAGAGTCACTAATACATTTCTCTAGCAATAGAATAATGAAATAAATATTGACTGTATCCAGCATAATAGAAGAGCTTTCTTCAAGCACCCATTGTTCAGAGGTATCTCTCTCAATACTTGATTTTGGTAGTTCACTTCCATGATTAAACAAACCTCAATTTCTAGCATCACTAAAAGTAACTTCTGTATTTGTTAATAAGATAATACAACATAAAAATGGCAAGTCCTTTAAACATCCCCAGTTTAAAGCATAGACATTTTAGTAAGAAAGGATAAGATGGGAAAAAAAGGCCGTACCAGGACTAAGAGAACATGATTTCTTCACTTTGAGAGTGGTGAGACACTGGGACAGGCTGCCCAGAGAAGCTGTGGATGCCTCGTCCCTGGAAGGGTTCAAAGCCAGGCTGGATGGGGCTTTGAGCAACCTAGTCTAGTGGAAGGTGTCCCTGCCCATGACAGAGGGTGGGAACAGGATGATCTTTAAGGTCCATTCCAATCCAAACCATTCTATGATCCTATGATTATTGGTCCTGTTACCAACTAAGAAAACTAGCACTCAAATAGATGTGTTTTACTGACAGTACCACTATAAGCACAGACCAAAGCTCTGCAGGACAGCTGCAAGCCACAGACTTTGACTGACACTTAGTGTAACACCTCAGGGAGGATCCTTACTAAATTTATTTCCCCACGCAACTGTGCTGGAGAGAAAGCAGAAATCACTGTTACCAGTCATCAGTAGGTCTCTGGCTCACTCAGTAAAGTGAACAAAGTCTGCATGAAGAATGTAAATCAAAGCAGAAGGGAGGAAGGGAATTGACATGCATTAGTAATTTTAATTACAGCTCATCACATATTACTGTGGCTCTTTTAATACACTCCTTAAATTCAGCAGCTGAGAAATGAATTCAGGTCACATATCACAGACAAGGGCCAGCACAGGGAGTATAACGACAAGCAGGTAATTTTTATGCAAATATCAACAAGTTTATTTGCAGGGGCTGATCCATGGATGAATACCACCACCTGTTGCCTTCAGTGCAAGGAAGGTATATATATATTATGACATCCCAGTAAAACACAAGACTTTCATTCACCTTGGCTCACTGGTTACAGTGCACTTGCATAAGATTAAAATCAGTATGGCCTTTGCAGACCTGATGAGATCTAATTAGTTACCACGGGATCATCCTGCAGCACAGTCCCTTCTCTTTATAATCTCCATCTTACTAAAAGGGAAGAAAAATGAGAGAAGTATGTACACTTCTTTTCTAAACTTTTAAGGATATTTACCTGTTTAGGATAGCATCTCCTAGGTCCTACATGAAAAACAATTCCATAAATCCAAACAGATTAACCAGATTGCTGAAGAAGAAGTACTTTGTCAAAAGTCAGATGGGATCTGACGACCAGCTTTAGGACAGTGTGAAACAAAACATCTCTTTTATCTGGTTTTACAACCCTTTTCATACAACCACACACATATTGTGCAGAGATCTGGAATAAATTTGCAGTTAACATGCTGTTTTGGAGATTGGGATTACTGTGGCTAATGAAACATCATTTATTTACCAGTAACTATTCCCGTTTAGGTTTTTAGATCTGTTTCTTGTATTCCCATTTAGTTCACTGTCCCTCTCAAAACAAGAAAAACCTAAGGGCATGCCTGCAGATCTGTGTGGAAATCGCTGAACCAGAAGCAGAGCCATGAAGGTGCTGTTTTGAATAGTGCTGTCTGGTGCACTATTTGAACTGACCAACAGCAATGATGTGTTTGGGATTGGAATTAGTATCTCTACCAGTTCAGCCAATTCTATCCCATGTGACTTTAACTGAGGAGTACTGAGATTCTTCCTGTGAAGAATCTAGTTTATCTGCTAAGTGGTCCTTCTTGTGCCCCAGGCAGTGTTGCATATTTGCACAGAGAAACTCTCCCCATTCAAAGAATCCAGCTCCCTAAACATGGATAGTCTTTATAACTTCACAGGAATAGACCACACCTAAGATGGAGTTCTACCTAGACAGATTCAGCTATCATTGAAACAAAGTCTTCTTCCACCACAATAACAAACTTAAGATAGGTGGGATTTCTGGGCCAAGAAGACAAAATCTTATGCTCCCTTAGCAAACAGTGCTAATAAGTAAAATTCAGTGGCCTTTCGCTTCTGCTCTGGTATAGTTAATATCACAAAAGACCAACTTGTATCTAACCTCCCTTTTCTAGAAAAGTCATTAAATCCAAACCTGCAAAAGACAAAAGTAACATTACCTGAGCCTATCAGCACTGCTTGGCTCGTAGCCCTGGAGAGGGCACTGTCCACTCAGGGGCAAAGAAATGAACTGCCATTAACAGTCTTCCAAAGTAATGCTCTGGCAAGAAAACTGCTCTGTGGCACAGCTAAAACAAAAGTAGCAGAACTAGAGGCAGTTTTGCATACAAGAGGCTTTTACATCACGTTTTTGCTTCATCTCTTACACTCAATCATGTTGAAATTAATAACTTCTTATAACTGCCAGATAACATTCTGGTTTTGTAGAGTCTAGTAAATACACAGAGGTGTGAAAGGGCATGAGGGGTATTGAGCTGAGACTGCCTGAGGAACCTTCATCCATTTTGTGCACACTGTAATAGGGAGAAAGTGAGGTACAGAAAACACCTGAAAACTCTCAGCTGGACATGCTTGACTACAGGAAACAAAAGCCATGACTCTTTAGCTCTGCTCTAGTAACTTTAAGCAAATGTTTACACATGACAGAAGTCACTGAACTGAATTTCTAGATAATTCAGTTATCCTCTCCCAGGAGAAGCAGGTATTATCCAGGCAGGTTTAAAAAGTTCCATCTGCTCTGCTACTAAGTGCAAATTCACAAAAAAGGTGAGTGGGCAAGCGAATTTAAATTCAAGGAGTATTTACTCTTTTGTGCTCCCTCCTCCCGCTCCCCTTTAAGAATCTGTTTTCTAATTGTACCACATATAAATAAACAGTTTACCAATGCCACTTATGCCTATTAAATCCTAGTATCCAGGAAATGCTGAATTCACAGATTAGAGATTTTTGGAGTGTAAAAAGCTTTGTGAATAATTTAAGAAAAGACTGATAAAGGAAACGTAACGGGCTGTGCTCAGAGGGCTATTTTATTGACTGTGAACAAATCTGCCGTCTCAAAGTTCAAAAAAAAACCTGAGAGTAACTGCATTAAGTCTGTCAGACACAGGGATGAGAAGCTATTATTTTATCTTTCACAATCCTCTGCTCAAGCCTGTCTTTTCACAGTTCATTGGAGAAAAAGCTTTTGAAATACATAATCTGAGCAGACATCTGTAGCCTTAATGAGCACGAGTCACGGTCCATCTCCAACAAAGATGCTACTGTAACAACACATTTAAATTCCAACTGGTTAAAGTGCAGAGCTGCAGCTTGGAAGGGTAAAGACAACAAAAATCAAATTCGGACAGGCAGAGCCTCTGCACATTATTTAATTTTTGTGCTTGGAGCTCCTAGGGCATCCTAGGTCTCCCAAAACTCTTAAATTTCTCATCATTGATGATTTTATGTCCCACTAAAACATGGATTACATAGATTTTGTGCACTGAACTCTCAGAATGCTCTTTATTCCAGTGATGTCCTGTCTACCCTAGTTATGCTTTTTCCCTATTGCCCTTCTCAATGTTACAAACAAGATCTCTCTCAGACAACACAGCACCTTGAGTTCATGAAGTTTCATGCTAGGTTACCACTGTTCCCCTCCTGAAGAAGCTTCTCGGTTCCCTTAGACACCAGAGACAAGGATTTGTTTTCAACTGCATTCCCAGTGTGTTTCTGCTCTGCTTTGGTTTTCTCTGTTTCATGCATGGAAGAGAGATTCACTAATAGAAGTGTTACACATCCTGAAGAGACCTTATCTATGGGAACTGACCAAAGGAATACAATATGAATTTTGTTTACCAGGTACTTGGTAAATGGATAAAACTTCTGGGAAAGCAGCAGGATGAAGTTCTTTCCAGGTATGTCTCTAATGGCACTGGCTTCACATCTAGACAACCTGTATCTGCACAGACGTCCTGTCTTGAAATCCCGTGTTTAACTCTGCTAATCACGAGTGCCCCTAACACCCACAGACCAGAACCACAGCAATCAGAACAGTCCTCGATCTAAGAAGTTGAAGCAAAGTGCGGATCTATTCCCAGTCCTTGAAGTCGCCCCTCAGGTCATT